ACAATGCCAGTCAACAGTGAGGGGGATGGGGTGGGGAGAGGGAGTTTTTGCCAGTGTCACTGGTGAAATATTATCCTCAAAGATTGTCAAACTAATTCTTTGGGAAAGGGTAGTTCTATTTAAAGACTTTCCTTGTTTCCTTAGTGCCGACTAATGGACTGATTTAATGTCTGACTTAATCACTGTTCCATTTGATTGTACTTTTTCAAGTAGTTTTCCAAAGTCACTTTTAAAAGCTAGCAGAAGCAATATTTCTTCCACTTCTGGCAAAGTGAGCTCCTTGCCCAACAAGATCCTTTCCATGGTTATTCACATGACTTGTCAGACACCCTTTTCAGTTCCATAGTCTTATTCCAACTATGATCCTCAAAAACAAAGGGGGAAAGGATGTCTTTCCTCTATCATCCTTATTTTGACCAAGAAATCTCTAGGACATCTTACAGTCTTTCTTCATTGTCTCATTGCTCTCCTGTTGACTCCAAGACTTATACAATAGAGACCCAACCAGGAGACTTTGAATACCTGCAGCTGCCAACTCTGATCTCTGGCTAAGAACCACATCTTCACCCTTAATAATGCATTTCGTTAACTTACCCCTCCCCTTTTTGCTCCCTAAGGCTGTTATCTTCAGCACTGAGCTCTCTAAAATGTGGAATCTTAGAGCTGAGATCATTAAATCATAGGATTTTGATTTAGAACTGGAAGGAAGGAAGGAAGGAAGGAAGGAAGGAAGGAAGGAAGGAAGGAAGGAAGGAAGGAAGGAAGGAAAGAAGCTTTTATTAAGTTCCTACTATGTGCTAGGAACTGTGCTAAGCATTTTACAAATATGATCTGATTTAATCCTCAATATAACCCTGGGAGATAGGTGCTATTATTATCTCCACTTTATAGATGAGGAAACTGAGGCAGACAAAAGTTAAGTGACTTGCCCAGGGTCACATAGCTAGTAAGCATCTGATTCCAGATTTGAACTCAGGTCTTCCTGACTCCATCCCTAATGCTCTATCTACTGTGCCACCTACATTAAGTACTTACTCTTCACCAAGTACAGTTTTAAGGGGATAAAAAAAAACATAAATAAAACAGTCCCTGCCCTCAAGGAGCTTACATTTTACAAGGGGAAAGTAACATACACACAAGTAAAATCTTATTGCAATAGTCCAAGTATGAGGTGACAAGTACCTGCAGTAGGGTGATGGCAGTGTCAGAGAAGAGAGAGGGGTACATGTGAGAGATGTTACGAAGGTAAAATTGGTAGATCTTGACAATAGATTGGATATGAGGGTGAGGGATGAGAGAGGATGAGGAGGATGATCCTAAGTTGTGAACCTGGATGACTGGAAGGATGGTGGTACCCTCGACAATAATGTGGAAATTAGGAAGAGATAAGTGTTGGGTCGGGGGTGGGGGGGGAGAAAACCAGATCAGTTTTGAATATTTTGAGTTTAAAATGTTTATAAGACATCTAGTCTGAGATGTCTAATAAGAAATGTGAGAGTGAAGGTCAGAAGAGAGGAGAGGAGGGGATGGGAGGGAAGAGGAGGGAAAGGGAAGAGAAAGGAGAAGAGGGGAGAGGAGAGCAAGGAAGAGGGGGGAGGGGAAGGGAGAGGAGGGGAGGGGAGTGTAGAGAAGAGAGCATAGGACAAAGCCCTGTGGCTGATCCACCATTAGCAGGTGTGAACTGGATGAAGATTCAGTTAAAGAGACCGAGAAGAAGCAGTCAGGTAAAAGGTAGAGAGACCACACAGGTAGGTGGAGAACGAAGAAAGAGTAGTGTCACAAAAACCTGGAGAGGAGATAGAGAAAAAGGGAATGATTAATAGTTTGAAGGCTGCAGAGGTCAAGGCAGGTAAGGATTGAGGAAAGGCCATTTGTTATGGCAGTTAAGATACTGTGAGTAACTTTAGAGAGAGCAGTTTCAGTGGAATGATGAAGTTGAAAACTAGACTGGAGAGTTTTAATAAAAGATTGAGAGGAAAGGAAGGGGAGACATCAGTTTCAGATGGCCTTCTCAAAGAGGTCAGCTACAAAATGGAAGAGAGAGATGAAATAATAGCTAGAGGGGATGGATTGATCAAGTGAGAGTTTTTTGATGATGGCATGACAGTTATGTGTGTAAACAGTAGTAGATGGGAGAAATTGAATGAGAATAATAGAAAGGTTGATCTTCTAGAGAGGATAGGGTGGAATGGCTTGACCTTCCTGCCGCAAGCCTCTTCCTTCTCCAGCCCATGTTCCACTCACCTGTCAAAGTGATCTTCCTAACAGCAGGTCTGACCATATCACCCCACACACACTCCACAAAATCCAGTGGCTTCCCATTACCTCCAAGACAAATATAAAATCTTCTCCTTAGCATTCAGACCTTCACAACCTGCCCCCCACACACACCTTTCCAGTGTTCTTTCACCTTAGATCTCATCCCTCCCATTCTCTGCCAGCCAATGATAGCGACCTCCTTGCTATTGCTCAAATAAGAAACCCCACCTCCCCACTACAGACATTTTCACTGGCTGTTCTCATGCCTGGAATGCTCTCCCACCTCATCTTTGCTTCTTGCTTCCCTGGATTCCTTTAAGGACCAGCTAAAACCCCACCTTCTACAGAAAGCCCTTCCCAATCCATCTTAATTCTATCACCTTCCCTCTCTTAATTATCTCCTATTTATCCTGTACATAGTATCTTTGTATACAGTCTTGTGTGTAGTGTTGTCTCCCCCCTTAGAACATGAGCTTCTTGAGAGCAGAGACTATCTTTTGTCTTTTTCTGTATCCCCAGTATTTAATCAGTCAGTCAATAAACATTTATTAAATGCCTACACAGTGCCAGACACTGTGCTTTAGGAATAGAAGGAAAGGCAAAAGACAGTCCCTCCACGCAAGGCGTTTACAATCTAATGGAGAAGATAGCACATAAAATGAAAAGGAAGGAGTGATGCAGTCCTGTAGCAGAATGGGAAATGATGGAAGGACTGCTATGGGTGCTTCCCTCCTTGAATGGAGGCTCCAATGTCCACCCTCTATACTCTCCAATCCAAGAGAGGGAGGGGCTTCAAGGGCAAGGGGTGCTGAGGAGATGTGGGTTTCGGAATTGACATCATCTTGCAGGATGATGAGTTTCTGGGGATCATGAAGTTCAGGAGAGCAGCTGCGTGGAAAATGCTTAGCGAAGAACGTTAAGTGCATAGTAGGTGCTTAATAGATGTTTACTGATTGACTGGAAATACATACAAAGTGAATATGAACTAATTTCAGAGGAGGGGGAGTGAAGAAGTTCACTAACAATTGAGTTCACTGTCCATCCGTAGCTTTTAGGAGAGGAAACCAAGGCCCAGAAAGGTTGAGGGACAAGAAACAAGCGGATCTGGGATTCAAAGCCAGGCCTAATTTGTTCAATGTTTAGGTAAGGCTCTATAACACTTTACCTTTCTTGAAGCCAAGAAAGGTTAAATGACTTGCCAGGAATCACACAACTCTTTAAATGGCAAAGCTAAGACTAGAACACTGACCTCCCAACTCTCATTTGGTCTTTCTCTAGTTTCTCTTCCCAAACCCATCCCACTCACCCACAATATGGTGGTCAGCTGAAGACTGACCATTTGCAAACCTAAGCCCATGACTTAAGGTGTTGTAATCTGCAGATCATGGGGTAATCAACATGGAGCTGCACAGAGTTATCTAGTTCAATCCCCTCATTTTACAGATGAGGAAACTGAGGCCTAGAAAGGCAATGACCTGTCCAAATTCACCCAGCTTAGTTACAGAGGTAGAATTTTAGCTTCTTTCCTATGTGACTTTGACCTAATTACTTCATTTCTCTGGGTCTCAGTTTCACCATCTGAAAAATGGGAAGGTTGAACTGGATAATCCCTAAAATCCCTTTCTGTGCTAAATCTGTGATCCTAGATCCTCTGACTCCACATTCAACTTGTTTCCCATTATACCAGGCTGCCTCTGTTTTCCTCCCTTCCTTATTGTGGCTTAGGAAATGATTTTGCATTTGGTAAGAGTTTAGCACCTACAGAGTAATTCAACCTTCAGCCTTGGATGGGGAACTAAGTGCACATGACGATAAATGGGAACAGATGGGAACAGCTTGGAAAAGAAGGAGTTAATCTCTAGGAAGGCCATGTCCAAAGGAAAGCAAACTTCAACATTTACTCTGCAATATGGCTGGGTAACTGAGGGCCATAAGGCACACCTGGTCATGCTGCTATGGCTCTCTCAAGCAGGGAAAGTTAGCTGCATTCAGCCTTTAGCCACAGTCTGGGCAGACAGAGGGTGCATTTGGAATACACCATGGAGTGGCCAAAAAATATCACACCTGCCAGTTCTAAGGGAAACTGCAAAGCAATCAGCTTTAGCACCCAAAATTGAACAGAGAAAGCTGCCAAAGATGGGGGTTTTGCATTGCATTTAACTGGAATGGGGGCCATCTCAAGGGGATTTTTCCAGTACAAGTCTTGGGATTGCAAGGGCAAATTAATATATACATATAGAGAGACAGAGAAGAGAGAAATAAAGACAAAAACAGAGACAGAGAGAAGAGAGAGGAAGGGGGAGAGACAGAAACAGAGAAGAGAAGGAGAGAGAAGGAGAGAAAGAGGAGAGGAGGAGGAGGAAGAAGAAGAAGAAAGAGGAGGAGGAGGAGGAAAGAAGAGAAGAGAGAGAGATACAGAGAGAGAAACAGCAGTATAGGAAATAGCTATAACATCTTTAATCACTGCTCTGGACAACAGAAAAGGGAAATCACAGGGAGAAAAAAAGATAATTTAATGTCAATTACCAGACTTGGAAGGAAAAAAATTCTCCTGCTTTGTTTTGTTTTGTTTTGTTTTGTTACATATTACCCTTAGTCATCAGAAGCCCTGTCTCATTTGAAGGAAAACTACTGGGTGTTATTGACGTCTGACAGGATACATCCCTGAACACCTAGAGCAAAGGACTTGATTTTCCCAGGGGGAGCCCAACATATGTTGAAGACTGTTCCTTTCTTCCTAGGTCCTTCCGCCATTACTCACAGACTTCCACCATAAGGAAAGGGCCCTCTGGACAAACACCCTCTAAGATGTTTATATGGACCAGTGGCCGGACCTCCTCATCTTATAGACATGATGAAAAAAGGTAAATGCTTCTGGTACCCCTTGTCAGGTCACCCAGAGATGAAGCCAACCAGGCAGTACCAGCTGGTGGCACTGTGCCTATAGTAAGTGTATGCATCTGTGTCTGTGTGTGTCTGTCTGGATGCGTGCAGTACACATACCAGCATTACTTACCCATGTTTAATTAGGCAGGCTAAGAAATAACAGCCTCTAAGGGAGACCAAAAGGAGAGAAACCTGTTTCTCAAGCTAACCAGCATCCCCAGAGAAATGAGGGTCACAGAAGAAGAAAAGGGACAAGAAAGAAAGAAAGAGCAAGGGAAGAAAGCCTGGAGATAGACAGCAGTGTAAACCTAGGATGAAAGAGAAGACATCAGCCACACAAGCCTATCTCACCTTTCAGTCTTACTTTCTACCCAGATGTTGTCCTTTATTTTTTTTTTTTGGCTAGGCAATGGGGTTAAGTGACTTGCCTATGGTCACACAGCTAGTAAGTGTTACGTGTCTGAGGTCGGATTTGAACTCATGTCCTCCTGAATCCAGGGCCAGTGCTCTATCCACTGTGCCACCTAGCTGCCCCTCATTTATTTCATAATAGTCTCCCACCCACACCCATTCCCGCCCCCAGAAAAAAAGTTTGTCTTCTCGCCCTCTCTTTTATTCTTCTGTGTCTCTCATTTACTGGGTGCCATTGCCCTGCATTTAAAGAAATGGACTTTGAAATGCCAAAATGAATTTACTGCAGGTTAAGGGAAGTTTTAAGTCTGGTAGTGACTCATAGAATCTCAGCTCTGATCATCTGAGTGGGGTGCAGGAAGAAATCAAGTCTCTTCTTTCTTTCTCCTATTAACATCCACTGACTCCCAGGAAGGAGGCAGATTTTTTTGAAGCAAAGCTCTGTGGGTCCAAGGAGAACCAACTTTGAAACACCTGTGGCTGTTTATAAAAATTCACTGATCCCTTTGTTTTTAATAACTGGACTTTCATAGCTCTTTCTAAAGGCTTAAAGCAAAGTGACTTTTCAACTCTGTGGAGGGGGTAGCCTTTCATGTGCTCCACATGCAAGATGCGATGATTCTACCCAGATTCTCTAAGTACGATATTTACTCACACAATGTCTCCCTTCTTTGGACCTACTCTGCAGCTTAAATAGAGATGTGGAGGGAGATTAAGAGGACACACTTCTCTAAGTGCAGCCAGCTCCAGCACCCTTCCTCTCCAGAACATGTTTCTCCTCAGCAACTACTGTGGCTCAATACATTACAATGTCCCTCGTGTTCCTGAAGATTTAATAAGATCAGGTGAAGATCTGTGAACAGTGGCTACTCCGTGCATTTATTTCCCTCTAATAGGATTTAATTAAACATACCCCAGATACATACTCGAATAAGAAAGCCACTGGTGTTGAGGGGGAGGGGAACTAGAGTCAGAGTCAGATGAGCCAGGTTCAAATCCCATTTACAACCCACGTGACCTTGGGCAAGTCATTTCATCTGTCCTGGCCCCAGTTTGCTCATCCATAAAATGAGCAGGTTGGACTAAGTTATCTTGAGTCCTTTCCAGCTCCTAATCAATGATGCTGTGACCCTATCTAATCAGAAGACTGTCATGCAGAAGAGTTGGATTTGTTGTGCTTGAGCCCAGACAGCAGAAGCAGAAGCAAAGGGTGGCAGTTGCAAAGAGGTAAATTCAGGTCTATTAGCAAGTCAAACTCCCTAACACTTAGAATTGTCCAAAAGGAGGATGAGATACCTTATGAAATAATGAGCTCCCTTCATTGGAAGACCTCAAACAAAGTCTGAATGACCATTTGGGGAGGATATTGTCTGGGTATCACTCAGGTATGGGTTGGCCTAGATGGCTCTTAGAGTCCTTTCTCCCTCTGAGAGTCTGTGAAACCTGAAGTCTCTGCAAGTCACTTGGCCCCTCTAGTTGAACTGCAGTAGGCACCTCAGAGCTCTGTGGACCAGGAACCTGCAACTTAATAATAATAGTAGTCATCATTCATATAATAGAGCCTTAACATTTGCTAAATGCTTTACAAGTGTCTCATTTTATCCTAACAATTCTGGGAGGTAGATGCTATTATTATCTTCATTTTACAGATGAGGCAACTGAGGCTGACAGGTGAGTGACTTGTCCAGGATCACACATCTAGTAAGTGTCTGAGGTGCAATTTAACTCTATTCCCAGCATTCTATCCACTGCACCACCCAACTGCCTCTTCTATCCATCCTATATTGTTTTGTCTACAAGAGTCAAATGGCTCATGGAGTTTAGATTCCCCCAGGGATATTCGGAGTTGAGACACCAGAGCATTCCAGCACCACAACTGCTTAGGGAAAGATGCAGAATCAAAAGGAAAATAAATTCCACCTCAACAAATTCCAAATGAAAAATGTGAAGGAAAGGGAAAGGGGAAGGGGGAAGAAAAAGGAGGAAGGGGAAATGGAAAACAGAAGGAAAATGAAAAGGGAAAGTGAAAGGAGGAGAGGAAAGGGAAAGGAAGGAAAGGGAAGAAGAAATAAGCATTGAGTAAGCATCTACACATAAATTCCCTAAGTGGGTGATACCACCCCCTGGGGATGCTGAAACAATCCAGGGGGGGTGATAGTAGCCTCAGGTGCAATTAGAGGGCATTAAATAAAAATAAGGGGGTAGTGGAACACAAGGAAAGAAGAGAAGAGAAGAAAATTTTGAAAAACTGTTCATACATGTTTTATGTGTTGTATAACAGAGTTAAAGTTGTAGTGATTACATTATTTTCCAAATAAACACACAAAATACAAGTTATAACTGATCAGTGGTCAAGTCTGCAAAAGGTCTTAACAAGACAGTGTTGGCAGGCCAGCATGTTACACGTTGTCCAGAAGTCCAGCATGCATCAGCAGGAATATGTGCATGCAATGACTTGTTTACAGTACAATACTATACAGTTACATGACATAATATTACATCATCAAAATTTCAATGCAGGGGGAAAAAAACACAAATTTACAAAAACTATTCAATTTAAGATGCATCATTTTTAAAAAATATTTTATATTTTTTAAATGATGCAATTTCCCAGGGGTTGCTGAGTAAATTTTTTGTTTTGTTTTGATGAGGCAATCAGGGTTAACTTGCCTAGGGTCACACAGCGAGTAAGTGTCAAGTGTTGAGGCCCGATTTGAACTTAGGTGCTCCTGCTTCCAGAGCTGGTGCTCTATTCACTGCACCACCTAGCTGCCCCAGTAATTTTTTTAAAGGGGGTGGTAGGCCAAATAAGTTTGGGAACCTTTGATCTACTGTGTACCAGGCACTGTGTTTAATGCTTTACAAATATAATTTCATTTCTGTTTCTGTTGGGCAGAGAGTCATTTCTAATCATTTTTAGATCTTTTACTGCCTATCCCCCCATCCCCACTGAAATATCCTTCATTTCAGTCCCATGAACTTAATGACTTTTTATTTTTGAATTGAAAATACATTTTTGCCATTCTGGACAAATCTCCTCTTTAACTGAGCTTTCTTGAAGCCCAGAATTTCTAATGGCAAAATGAAAAACCTTAATTTAGAACTTACAGAAAAGACAAATCCCTGAGCTAAGAAAATTGCAGGCTGACTGTAAAATACTGTGAGATCAAATGAGATAATATATGTAAAGTGCTTTGCAAACCTTAATATATATAATTATGATGTATTATTATTACTGTTATTATCCTAGGGCCTCTTTGGGAAATCAATTGATTTGGATTTACCTGAAGCCTTCAGAGATTTTGTCCTCTTCTCTTGCCTGGTCATTTGAATGAAATTTTTTTAGCAACTTGAACTTAATGATGGATCAATTAAAGATGAAATTATCATTGATTTCATTAGGAAACTGCTTGACCTTGTAGATTAAGCCTTGTGCCAAGAGACAAGAGCTCCATTTTGGAAGCATGGAGCAATGGAAAATGTGCAAGATTTGGAGTCCGAGAAACTGAGTTTAAATCCCTTACCTACCACTTACTAACCATGTGATCCTGGGCAAATTACATCACCTGTCTAAGCCTCATTTTGCTTCTCTATAAAGTAAGGACGCTGGACCACATGACCATGATCTTGGAACTCCCTTTATGTTGTTTCATATTAACAGAAAGTGGACAAAAATATCGCTTGACCTAAAAAGGTCATGTAGATTAATAAATATTTTTTACGTATTTGTGAATAAAATGGTTTCAGCACTGCATGACACCACAGTTCAGTATTTCAAATGGTAGCCTCAGAATTCCTACTGTATGGTCAGTTAATTTGCCATCCAGTATAATATATACATCAGTCATCACATACAAGGTGAGAAGCAGCCAAGCATAGAAAGAGAGCTGGCCTCAGTCAGGAGGTGTCAAATTCAAGTCCCCCCTGACATAGACCAACTGTAGGACCTTGGGCACACTCACTGAACCTCTCAGTATCCCCAGGGGCTTGGTAAGGATTCAAATTGCAAAGCTAGTGTCAACCTGCACTGAATGAAAGTTTCCTCATTGGGAGTTGCCAATACCACTGAAATCACAGGCCTTATCCAAAAAGAAGTATGAGTCACAGTGCTCAGTGCTGGAGATACAAAATGAAAATAGCCCTGCCCTCAAGCAGCCTACACTCTACTAAGGCAATATAAAACATGAACAAATTAGTGAATATCTGTTTAAGGGGGAGAAGCAGCAGTAACCAGAGGGATTAGAAAAGGCTCTGTAAAGCCGGTAGTACTTGAGCTGAGCCTGGAATGAAATGAGGGATTAAATTCGATGCATTTTGATTCCTTTCAACTCAATAAGCATTTATTCAGGGCATTCAGTGTGCCAGGTACTATGTGTTGGGAATACAAATCAATCAGCAAGCATTTAGCAAGCACCTCCTGAGTGCCAGGCACTGTGCTGGGCTCTGGAGACACAGACAAAAGGGATATAGCTAGTCCTTGCCCTCGAGAAGCTTACATTCTCCTTGGGAGTCGAGGAGATACAAAGACTGAAAATGAAAGAAATGACAGACAGCTGCTCCCCACAAA